AGGGCCTCCATAGCCATAGAGACATATCCGGCCGCCGGGAACACAATATCGTCGCCAATTCTGTGATCCTTCAACCAAGGATGCTCACGGAGGTGCAGGATCTTGGACCATGACGGCGACTGCCACGCCGTTCCAAGGATCTTGCTCCCCAATAAGTCGTGATGCTGGAACCGGCGGAAACGCCAGTCGCGACTGGGCCGGGTCTCATACCAATATTTGGTGGTGTGGTTCCAGGAGTAGTTGGGCAAATCCACAAGCACCGCCGGCTTCGTAGTCTCGTCATCGCGCGTCCGATTGAGCGAGTCCAGTTTAATGGACACGCCTGAGTTGTACAGATTGCCCACCGTCCGGAAGAGTGGTAGCAGGCCCTCTTTCCGACTGAGCAGTCCGGCGTACCTGACGTTAATGCCAGCCTGGGTCACGCTCTCGGTGATCTGCTTAATCGGCCCCGCTAGCGTGGCGCTGGGGCCAATCTCAACGACGAAATTGCTACCCCGGTGGGCATTGACCATCTCTTGGATGGCGCCTGAGAAGAGGACTGGGGACACCATGTTCCGCTTCCAGTAAGTCGCGTCGGGGATGGCCTCCATGCGTGATCCGGTCACTGAGGAGAACATTGTGGTAGTATCGGTCCCAGTTTCACCGCACGCGATATTTGACAGCAGGAGGGAGTGGTAGGACTCGCCGATCTCCGTCATGAAGCGCGAGTGATACGCAAGGTCCACCTGCAGCAGGCGCGCAAAGTGGCCATCTGCGACAAGAGGCTCCTTCACAGCCTCCAGCCCGTCGGTACGCCCAGATAGTGTGACGCTCTGAGGGCTGTTGATGCAGGCAATCTGGACCAGATCCTGGTGTTTCTCGATGTATGGCTGCACTGCTTCAGGGCCTAGTCCTACTGCCATCATTCCGACCGAATCCATGGGGTGCACCTTGGCAGCATAACCCCGGTAGAAAGCAATCTTGATGGCGTCGGCTTTGGATACGTAGCCGGCCGCGTAGGCTGCCGCAATTTCTCCAGAAGAATGACCCACAACCCCTTTGGGACTTATCCCACTGCTGCGGAACAGGTCAACCAGCGCCAGCTGAAGAGCGGTCACCAATGGTTGTGATAGCTCCGGTTGACGGATATGGCTGCCGTCTCGTGACTCGGTGAGTTCGTCTGTATTCCTTACGGTCAGTGGCAACTGAATGCTTTCCTTAAATGATGGCAGTATTAGGATGGGGAAATAAGAAACAGCGCGCAAGACGTACCCAAGAGCTTCCATGAGGGGGCCTCCGGAAGTGTTTGTAGGACCGCATCCAGCTCCTTGATAGTATCAGCGGCCACAGGGAATGTCTGAAGGACTTCCTTGCCCATCTGTGGCCACTGGCTTCCTTGTCCAGTGAAGACAAAGCAAATATGAGGCAACTGCACATCGACTTTGCCATGCACAAAGTCATTCTCGCTGATTTGCAACCGATCGGTGATGGCAAAGGCCCGGTGCATGTGGTGGCTCCGTCGCTCCGACAGCGTATAAGCCACGTCCCGTAGCTCAGCCTTGACATTGATTTTAGAAAAGTGTCGGGCCAGCTCCGTGCAGTTATTCTTTAGGGAGTATTCATCGCTAGCGGATTGCACAAGCAGGAAGGGTCGCTTGAACTCGGTTCCGTCCTCGTCATCACTGTCGTCATCCAACATGAGACCTCCCTTATTTGAGCTGTACGACGATTTATGAAACGGACCCGAAGGTCCCATCCACATATCGGCCCCGTCTAGTACGATATGGCAGTTGGTACCTCCGTAGCCAAACGAATTGACACTGGCACGCCGCAGAGCATCCTGCGGCCAAGGGGTGGCCCTGTTGCTGACATGTAGATTCAATTTTTTCAAGTCGACTGTGAGCTAATTGTCAGCCATGTGGTTCCTGTAACAATATCTTTGGTATCTTTTCTAGTCTTACTCAGTGGGCTGGGCTCCAGAAATGTCGGGTTGCCAGGAATCATGCCATTCTCAACACTCAAGATGGCCTTGAGAAGACCATTCATACCGGCCACTGCTTCACCGTGTCCGATATTACTTTTGACCTGGTCCCCAAAACTTAGCATAATTCCGGCATCCTTGGGGGGTTTTCAGGGGGGCCTACGGAGCTAATCATAAGAGGTTGATCTCTGTTCTCTGCGGGATTAAAGGCCAGATTTATGCCTTCCACTTCGGTCAGATCGCCTCTCTATGGGGTTCACAATTCCTGTCAGTACGCGAAGGGTCAGAAGCATGGCATATTGACTTACCTTGGTGCCCGTGCCGTGAAACTCGACGTACGGTGTTAGACTACGATCCTCGATGCCAGCCTTTGCATAAGCAGCACGAATACATTCGGCTTGCGCCACGGCATCCGGTGTGGAAATACCTGCGGTCTGACCATCACTGTTGACAGCCCATCCCCGAATGACGCCACGGATGGGATCGCGGTCACGGATGGCATCGCTGAGGCGCTTCAGTACTACCGACCCCACTCCCTCTGCCTTGGCATATCCGTCGGCTTTCGCATCGAACGTGTGGCACTGTCCAGTCCCAGTATAAATCGCACCCGTCGAACTTGCTGTGACGACCCAGATTCATTAGCATCCCGCCAGTCAACTGTCAGGACGGGGCATGGGAGGTGGAGGATGGGGAATATCATGAAGTTATGGCTCCACTTACGGTCAGTGGTATGTTCTGGGCTATTTTAAACGTCAGCTGGAAGAAGGTACTCATAGAGGCGGGCTAAACATGCCTGAAGAACAGATTACATGCTGCAACGATGGCAGAATCCACATCCCCAGCACTCAGATATCGACACGCCACGTCGACGCCTACCAAACTCCCCGAACAGCCAGTGTCAATTGTCATACTGTTGCCATGGAATAATGGGTCAGCTTTGCACTTCGATAGGGCTTCCCTCTAGAAAACGTAAAAGTTGAACTTCGTCTTGCCCTTACCTGGGTCCCTTGAGGTTCAGGACATGGCTAATACGGTTACTCAAAATCGCACGCCCGATGCCAGTCAAGATAAAGTTTGGCCGGTTATCGGGGTCTCGGGCTTGTATGTAGTCATAGTCTGGATACCACGCACGCAGCTGTCAGTGGCATATCACCAGGCCAATTGTTGGCCTCTTTCCGGGAGGGGTTACGTACCGGAGAGGAATGACCCAACGAAGCAACCCACCTGTGCCCCGTTCACAGTACTAAGAGAGATACCGGAATTCTCCAGTGACTCATAAACGACTTCCAGCAGCAAGCGCTGCTGCGGGTCCATGGCCGTTGCCTCACCCGGAGATATATTGAAGAAGCCGGCATCGAAGTCACGCAAGTCGACCTTTTCGAGGAACTTGCCACCAGGAGTTCTCATGGAGTGAGGCTTTCGCGTCTCATCGTAATGAGTATCAATAGTGAACCGAGACTCAGGGACCTCACTGGAAGCAAGGCCACCGCGTTTGAGAAAGTCCCAGAACTGTGATGGCGAGAAGTTCTCTCCAGGCAGGCGACAAGCCATGCCGACGATAGCGATTGGTTCAGCCATTGCTTTGCTTGTCTGAGTTGGTCTTAAGTCGGGTTCGCAAATGTCCAAGATTAGATGACTTTGGGAAGGGAAGTCGGGATTCAGTTCGGGTTGCGAAGTTGAGGGTTAGGTTCGGGAGGTGTACAGCCACTTTTATATATACTTTGATGCTACTTGAATGTAGTAACTTCCCTGCATACTTTGGCATCACTCACAGAGGTTCTATGACAAATTACCTTTGCTATCTCATCACTAACTCTCTCAACTCCGTAATAATATTCCGAATTAATTCAACCGAGGCGATTCTTGAATGCTACGTTTCCACATGTTGGGTGCTAAAGCGGTAATCCCAGTTTTCAGGCTGTGTGGAGGAGGTCTGACCTGCTCTGGCCTGTTGATGTTGCCCAGGCCGGACATGATCATCACGGCATTAGGGTAGCTAATGCATGCAGATTTATGCACAGATCCATCCTGGTACGACATTGCCCTCATATCGACTATTGAATTGCAGCAGATGGGGCTGTGCGGCATTGTTTTCAGCTTCCCCTACTAGCAGCCTGGCCGCCATCGTTTACGTTGCTGTATCGCCTAAGAGCTTCTTGATAGTGTTCAGGCAAACTAGATATCAGTATTTGTTGGTACTTTAACACCCGGATTGGCGCACATGAGTCTAAGTAGCTTGTCTTGGGCTCTCAAGCTCTCATCAAACTTAATCTTGGTTAGTAACCGGTGAGCATCTTTTCGGATCCGAATCCAAGCTACGGATTCACCGTGAGCATTCGTCACTGAAGTTCCCTCTTACAGCCGGTAATCCGATGCCAAGTCGGCGATTGGACAAAACGACAACTGATAGGAGTTCTGGCCTGCAGCCTTGCCAATGGTTCCAAATGCAAGTAAGCACGAGAGGGCACACTGGTAGAATGTGTGATGATGGCTGCAGTTTTATTGCAGAAATAAAGGAGAAAATAAAAAGCAAATCAAAAAAAGGAAAGAAAGAAAAGAGGAAGAAAAGAAGCAAAAAAACAAAACTATTGCAAATAAGGCACAAAGAATGTCCGCCGGCCGCCTTCGGAGGTAAGTAAGCACAAAACAAAGGAAAGCAAAACATCGCCGTGGCGCCAGCTGTAGCTGTGAGATGATTTTCCGCTTCCCCGATGGAGCAAATTGAATCGTATCCTTCAACCCACACAATTCCATGCGGCCACAAAGATTTGGGAAATCTGTATCGAGCTGATTAGTCACCCAACGCATGCATATCGCACGGAAGAGGTTGTCGCCGCCCTCCCTGGCGTGCCCTAATCCTCCTACAACGTGGCCCTGGTTATAAAAGGACGGCTTCCCGTGCTGAACGCTCAATCATACAGGAAAACCTCTCATCTGATAGCTGAATTCGCTCTTCTAATATCTCCATTGAAGCATCTTTAGCGGCCAAACTTTGTCAAAAACTCTTTCTTTCCGGGAATCCCGAACCATCCCAGCTACTATGTCTAGTAGGCAGAGGGTAGAGTTTAAGACCCTCGATGGGCTTACTTTGAGGGGAGATCTCTATCCAGCTGAAACCCGTGGGCCGGCCATCATCATCACCCCAGGGGTATGTATCGCTTCTACTCCTTCTATTTTATCTATATACTATCAAGTCTCAACCCCTACCACCGTGCTGGGCAATCGATTATGAAACGCATAGTCTCCATCAAAGCACCACATGCTGACTACTCACCTAGTTTCATCTCGTCAAGGAGATTTTGGCCGGCGACATCGCGTTACAGTACCAACGCAACGGCGTCACCGCACTGGCTTATGACCCCCGTAACTACGGTGATAGCGACGGTCAACCACGCAACCATATAGACTCTATCCGCAACGTCACTGACTACAGTGATGCACTTACATTCCTAAAAGGTCTTCCCATGGTCGATCCCAATAAGATCGCGTTCTGGGGAGCCTCCTGGAGCGGTGCCGTCGCTCTAGGGGCTGCATCCCTCGACCCGCGCGCCAAACTCGTCCTCTCCGTGTGCCCCATGGTCCAAGATATCAACCCCTCCCCAGCCTCCATGAAAATGTTAAAGAATGCCATGAAGGACCGGGAGTCGATTGTCAGAGGCAACCCACCCTACTATGTGCCTATAGTCAACGAGGAGGGCAAAAACCCCGTTGGTTTCGGCCCTGCTTACTCCAAGGACGACTATGAACTGTCGCAACGCGCTCGCAATAGCGTGGCGCCTAATTTCAGCCCCGATATGACCCTTCAGTCATACTTCCAGTTGGTACAGTATGACCCTGTGTCCACTATGCGGTTCCTCAGTCCAAACACTGCGGTAATGCTCCTAACCCCCGAATTCGACGAGATTTCGCCCGCCCACCTGCAGAAGCAGATTTACGACAACGTGCCGGGGCCGAAGAGATTATTCTGGGCCCCGGGCCAGCCACATCGTGGTGTGGTAACGGGTGACTATGCGGAGGAGGGTCTGCAGAAGCAGATTGAGTATTTATGGGAAGTCTTTGGGCCGAAACCCTGATTATGCCAGATGGCCGGATGATGTGGTGGTAATTCGACTCCCACATCTACCAAGGCTATGTTTCGAGGAGTATACGAAATACTAGACATACTAGACATGCATCAAATGTATTCGACATAAAATACCGTTGCCTGATTGGAAAACGAAAGAAAAAAAAAAAAAAAGTTGTGCTTATAAAAGTCGTAAAAAAAAGCTGATCTAGTCAAAGTAAGATAATCGTCAGCAGCAGCAGCAGCATTAAAACTAAATTGACACGAGGACGGGTACTTCAGGATAGTATTGGCAGCGCAATGTAATGCCATCTGAAAGATGTCCTTGTCATATTGAACTACTATGTCAATGACTAGAGACTCATGATAGCTGATTTCAATTATCACATTGATATATATATATCTATCTTCTAAATATTGATAGGCATCTTTCAATCAAGAATTGTATAGTATACTGACCAGTTCAATAATGTAGAACAAATATTTACGTCGATATATGAGAATTAGTCTTACGATGGAAATTAACCTCCGGATATTGAATGTTTAAGGTTATCCTACTCCTCGATCTGTCGGTACTGTTGGGATATCCTAATTTGAATAGGGCATCCTTTGTATAACACCACATGAATAGCCGACCTGGGCAGGGACCACGTTGTAGGTTACATCTGCTTTTCATTTCATAATATCTAATATCAGATGACATATCACACCATGATACGCCAGTATGGAGCCTTATTTCATGACTTCTTGTTCTGGCAAGGTATATCGAACAACGCTAATCTGACCAGATGAATTCCACCATACAACCGCCCCTTCGAATCCAATACAAGGCACGTAATCAAACATAGTGTCCATGAGTGTCAAGTTCAGAGTTCGTCTCCAGCTACTTGGATTCAACGTATCTGCCTGGTTGAGTCTATATCAACAGGAGATGACTTTCTCAAGAACATCAGCGCAGCCAAGCACAATGCATTGATCCCGGTCCTCAGTGTAGGCTGTACTACCAGTATAAAAAGCATAGAATTATTACCTGGGATCTCTTTAAGCTTTCTCTCAAACCTTGTATTATTTTAGTATTCCTGGTTTATATTTCCAAGAAGCTAAATGCAGCTCAAAATATCGTGATAAGTCATAAGAATATTGAAGTTCTTTGTAAGATTTATATTTTATTCTCAGTATATTAAAATAAAAGATTTATACGAACTTTCTCAGTATTTCTGTTACTCGTCTTATAATATTTTCATTAGAGTAGACACGCGGAATACTAGTAATTTATTAATTATATATTTGATTTCAATCATACTTTCAATACCTGTAATGATCTACATTCTAGTTTTTCGATTTATAGATTTAAACCCTATTCTAATCTGTACCTGATATGTGATAATATTTTTTATTTGTTCTATCTATAAATTTCTTGTTAAGTTGTTACTAAGGTAGAGTATTATGATAGATTAATCTTCCTGCTTATCATACTTTGTAATTTTATTATATTATATATTATACATAATACTCGATTAACAGTTTTTTTATAGGTGTATATTAGTTTCTAAGTATACTGCTTATACTTATCTAAGAAATATGAATAAATTTATAATATGTTTTATATATTTATTAGATAATGATAGAGTGGTTATACCTGACTGTTATACCTTAACCTAACCTTAACTGTAACCTGACGGTTAGGTTAAGGTATAGAAATTCTCTTAACTATACAGTTAAGGATAGATTATAATTAAGAAATTATTTTAACTGATTTTAACTACTGGTTAGGAAAATCAGATATATTTAAAAGATTAATAATTATAGGTTAATCAATAATTTATATAAAGATTTTGTAAGAATAATATACTAGTAGTAATATATTTTTAATTATTATATTATTAAAATAGATATTAAATTAATTATTAATTAATAATAATCTAATTTTCTGGCTAGTAGCTAGCAGTCTAATAACTCTTGTATTAAATTCTTATAAATAATATTAGAAATCTGAATATAATAATTAGATTAAATTACTGGAAAAGAATATATTAATTATTATTTAAATTATTTTTTATATTATTCTGGTCAATAATTATAATAATAAAAAAATTATATACTTTAAGTATTTATCTGTATTTAGATATATATAATATTATTAACTTAAAGAAAAACTAGATTTTTTTTAATAATATTTTATTTTTAGAATTATTATTAAGATTATCTATATTCTTATTTTTATTAATATAAAAGATTATTATTAATTTATTATCTTCTTAATTCTTGGCTGTAAATATAATAAAATTTAAAAAACAATTATTAAGAATATTCTGATATTTTTTAATAATAATAAAATAATTATTATATATCTGGAATATAAGAGCTTTAACAATTTTAAAATATAGATAATTCTGGTAATAATAGCAGATATCTTAAGAATTATAAAAAAAATATTTAATATTAATATTATTAATTATAACAGTTAAAAAGTTCTTAGTTATGTAGTAGAGAATAGAAAACTAAAACTAATTATAATAAGATTTTTAATAAGTAAGAATATCAGAGTATCTAGTAATTTTTAGATAATTATTAATATAAGTATAATTTTTTATATAATTAATTTATTATTTTAATCTTTAATAATTTATATAATTTTAATATTAAGATAAATCTTAAATTTCTTAAAAATTATTACAGAAGATAAGAATTTCTAGTACTTTAAGATATTATAAAAGATCTTATCTAGATGTAAAAATATGCTAGAGATTATAAATAATATATTAATAATAAAATTTTATTAATAATAAAAATAAAAGATTTTTTTAAAATAATTTAATATTTAAAATAATTTAATATTTAAAATATTAATTAATATTATTATCTAGCCAGGCAGTCTTTTTAATTTTTTTAAGTTTTTATATAAGATCTAGAATTATTATAATTATATAAATATATTTTTTAGCCTGATAAATCTAGTAATAATATTTATAAAATTTCTAATATATATTTTCTAGATTTTAGAGAATTTTTTTCTTTTAAAATGTTTATTTCTGTGCCAGTTGATTAATAGATTAATTAAGATAATTAGAAAGATTTTATAAATATTATAAATTTTATAGATTATAGGCCCACTGTTCTCTGATAAATAAAAAATAAAAAAAAAGAAATATAAAAATTTAAGTAAGTATTCTAACTACTTTTATTTTATTAAAATAAGATAAAGATAATTAATATTATTATAGTTTTAATATTAGATAAAGTTCTTGATAACTAGACATAATTTAATTATATAATAAATAAAATATAAAAATTATTTATAAAAATCTTATATATTTTATTTTATAGTTTATAGAAGCCCTTTTTAACTGGAGCTGAATTTTAATTCTGATTTTAGAAATCTTTTTTAACTAGAGCCAGAATCAAGACTTAGCTTCAGTTAAAAAAAGTTTCTGAAGTTAGAATTAATCAAGACTTAGCTCTAGTCAAAAAAAACTTCTAGAATCAGAATTAATCAAGGCTTAGCTCTGGTTAAAAAAACTCTTAAAATCAGAATTAAGATTCAGCTCCAGTTAAAGAGAGCTTCTATAGATTAAAAAATAAAATATATAAGACTTTTATGAATAATTCTTAAGAAATCCTGTAAAAGTTTTTTATAAATAATTTTTATTATATATTTTCTTAATTATTTAAAAAATACTAGAAGAGATCTCTAGTTTCTTATTATTATTTTCTTATATATATTTAACAGCTTTATTAGCAGTCTTAATTCAGAGTTTCTGAAGAAAGATATTAATAAAAAATTAGATAATATAAACCAGACAGAAAATATAATACTAATTTTAAATAATCTTTATAAGATTAGAAATTTAGAATTTATTAAAATATTATAAAAATAAATATTCTAGCTGAGTTAAGCCCAGAGTTCTAATATAATAATATTAAATATAATATTATTATTACTAATATTATCAGTAATTATATTTAACAGCTGACAAGTCGTATTTTTATAAAATTTTTAAAATAATTTTAATTAAATTTTTATTAATATAAAATCTAGATATTAATTAAAAGTCTAATAGAATCTTATAATAATTCATATTCTCTGTTAGAAAGTATCTAGTTAAAATAAGAAATATTTTTTAATTTATATTAATTTAATAATTAATTATAATTAACCTGCACCCGCTATCTAGAAATTTTAATAATAATTAAATATATATTTTCTCTAATAGTTTTAAAAATAGTCTTTAATCTGTATCTGATAAGAAAGAATAAATATTTAAAAATATATTAGAATAATAAGATTAATTATTTAATTTAAATTAAATATATTTAATAATATAAAATAACAGGCAGCAGGTAATAAAAAAATATAATATTTAATTATAAAAATTTCTTTTATCATAGACAGTGGAAGTCTAAAAATAATATAATAAATATTAATAATAATAATCTATTAAAAGACCTACTTATAAAAATATTATTAATAATTATATATCTATAATAATTCTTTCTTTAGTATCTATTTAATAATTCACTTAGAGATATACTGGAATATTTATTTTTTATAATTTTTATAAAAATAATAATTTATAAAACTAATCCTGAAATTATTAACTGCTGGATACTGTAGAAATTAGAATATATAAATATATAATATAAAAAATATAAAAAATATTATTAAAAAATAATATATTTTCTTAAAAGCAAGCCTATACTATTATTATTTTCTTAATTAAAGTAAAAGAATGGCTTCTGATCTTATATATAAATTTAACTAAAAATAATTATTTTTTATTAATTATAAAAGATAAAAATCTTTTCCAGAAGAGCTGGATATAAGATAATTTTTTAATTTCTTATAATATATTTAATATTAAGATTTAGAAAAGAAAAGATAATATAAACTGAAAAGCTATTTTTTATCTGATTATTATTATAATTTATAAAAAACTATAAGATAAAAGAAAAAAATTTAATAATATTTTTTAAAAATAAATTTAATAAATTATAATTATAATTAATTTA